AGGAATGACCAGGAGTCCTTGAGGTTTTCCTTCACATGGGCATATAAAGTCTCTTGAATCCACATCCTGCCTGAAATCCTTGTTCAGATTGCTTCTCTCCTTTGTGGATCACATCCCTACTTATCTTTGCATCCTTCAGTCAAACCAAGCCATGCAATGGTTTAAATTGTTGTATTTGATTATTTAATACTGTCCACATCTAGAATTTGTTCTGGATCCCTGTAGATACCCAGTCTCTGTATACAATGGCCCAGCTTGGTGGTGAGAACATCAGTGGTTACTATAGTGCAGCCATATTGGCTATGTGCTCCATTGTGAACTCGTGAGACCCACAAGTGCCAATATTCAAATTGCATGACAAATTTCTCACCATAGCAAGTTTAGCTCAAAAGCCTCTCAAGTTCAGAACTTCCAGTTCTGTAGTCCTTCAATTTGGGATTTAGAGACCACATGGCTATCAACATATGATGACTTTTTAGTGTTGTATTTGATTTTTTTTTCCCATTTCTACCTTGCTACCAATTTGTGTACCACAATTTAAGCAGTAGAGTAGTGATGTCTTTCACTACAAAGCAAATAAAAATTACTTGATCCCTGGAGGATATTTATCAACTGATTTTTCTTTCTTTCCTTATTCATCTATACCATTACCTTTATTCTATAAAATGAATCACAATCATGGCTGGGTCGTCTGGCTTGTATGATGCAAGAATGCGGTCATTCATTTAGAGAAGTACTCAGACAACTGTTTTGAAATTTTTTTGTTTGGTAAAACTCACAATGTAAAATTCATTCATCTTAGCTATTTTTAAGTGTACATTCGGTGGCATTAAACACTCACATTTTTGTGCTACCATTACCCCCATCTATCCATGGCACTCTTCCATTTAGAGAACTTCAGGACCCATTAAACACAGCAACAAACCAGAAGTGGTTACCACTGACAGGAGCAAGGGGAAAGGCTTTTATAGAGCAGATGTAGAAGGTAGGCAAGGAAATTATTTGATTGGTTACAGCTTAAATGAGTGCATTATTTGGGATAGCCTCGTTAGCTATTTGTGATTTGTTCTCCTTTGATTTCCATCTCTTAGCCTTAAAGTATATATAGGCTTAGGTTTTGGTTTGCTCCCATAGGCTGCCAAGGCTCTATAGCCACCTCAGCCTAATGTCCTCCTGGTTTAATCAATTTAACAGTATGCATATACCACATTTTGTTTATCCATTCATCTATCAATGGATTCATGGGCTGCTTACACCTTTTGCCTATTGGGAATAATGCTAATATGAACATGGGTGTACAAATATCCAATTGAGCCCTTGTTTGCAATTATTTGGGTATCTGCAAACTGCTGGATCATATGGTGATTATATTTTTAACTTTTTGAGGACTATTTTAAGAATGTCTGACAGTGACCACAGCTTATTTTCTTGAAGAACCCCAGGACATCCTATGGTTACAAAATCTCCATTTTGGTTGAAGGAGTTTCCAACATGGTATAATTGAAACCTCCAATAGGATTTCAATAGCAACCCTTCTGAGTCACACTATTTTTTGAAAGTCTTTCTAAAACATTGGTTAGTAATCTTAGCTGCATATTGAATCACCTGAAGAGCTTTAAAATATACTTATGCCTGGGCCTCACTTCCTGAGATTTTGCTGGGGGAATTTTCAATTTAAACGCATCCCTACCTTCGTTCACAAAAGAGAGGGGCTTGGGAGACTTAACAGCACACAATTAAGCCCCCTAACCTATCCATGGTTTAGTATTATTTTGGAAAATCTGAATTTGGTTTTAATTGTTGTGCAAAAGTGACAAAGTAGAAAGTTATTTGTATTAGTCAGAACTTACATATGCAGCACAACTTCTTTTTTGTAAACCATTTGGATGGTATCAGAGAAGGGAAGGAGCAAAAATATAAAACATAATTTGGGGCTGAGTCAGGGCCAAGAAAAAAGTGATCAGTTAATGGAGCCATCTGTTAATGCAGGGGCTGGGGGAACAGAGAAGGTGTGTGAGGAGGCTCTGTGTAGGAGCAGGGATGCTCTCCAGCTGGGCTGGCTCTGCCTGCACACCTTCGCAGGGCCATGATCCCATTAGAACTCTCTGGATTTCCCCAGGAATAATTTGCAGTCACCTGCAGAAGCCCTAATAGGACCCTCACCCTAGAGCAGTGATGGCGAACCTTTTGAGCTTGGTGTGTCAGCATTTTGAAAAACTCCAACTTAACTCTGGTGCCATGTCACATATAGAAATTTTTTGATATTTGCAACCATAGTAAAACAAAGACTTATATTTTTGATATTTATTTTATACTAGAGGCCCGTTGCAGGAAGATTCCTGCAAGAATAGAGCTTCCTGAGACCTCAGCGAAGCAGAGAAGGGAGTGAAGCCCACCGAGGAGGGCTGTGCTCCCTTCTCCACTGCCTCACTCCCTCCCTTCGCCGCTTAGCCCTCAGCTTCCTCCCTTCTCTGCCACCTGGGCTCTCTCCCTTCACCGCTTTGCTCCCTCGCCAGGTCACGGATACAAGGCCCAGATTCCCTGGGCAGATTCGGGCGCTACCGGCCCCGCCTCGCGCCCGTTGCAGGAAGATTCCTTCAAGAATAGGGCTTCCTGAGACCTCAGCGAAGCAGAGAAGGGAGTGAAGCCCACCGAGGAGGGCTTTGCTCCCTTCTCCACTGCCTCACTCCCTCCCTTCGCCGCTTAGCCCTCAGCTTCCTCCCTTCTCTGCCACCTGGGCTCTCTCCCTTCTCCACCACTTTGCTCCCTCGCCAGGTCAGGGATCCAGGACCCGGGTCCCGTGGGCAGCGTCATGCACTGCGGCCCCGCCTGAAGTATGCAAATTAGCTGCCATCTTTGTTGGCGGTTAATTTACATATCATGCTGATTAGCCAATAGGAGGTGTGGCGAAGGTACGGTCAATTACCATGTTTGTCTATTATTAGATAGGATATTTAAATACCATTTAACAAAGAAAAATCAACCAAAAAAATGAGTTCGCGTGTCACCTCTGACACATGTGTCATAGGTTCGCCATCACTGTCCTAGAGGCTCTGGGCTGAGACAATAGTTCAGGCTTCTGGCCATCACTACAACTCCCAACAGAGCAGGTACATACTATGAGCAAGCTGCCCAAGATGGAGCAGCTCCTTGGACCACTCTGCAGGCCCAGATTCCAAAAAGGGTGCCCCTACCCTCTGCTTAACTGACCCAGAGCAAGGCTGTCCTGGAGTCCTGCACCTGGGAACTCAGTCCTTCTCCCAGCTCTTTCCCACTTCCCCTGTGCCCTCAGGATACAAGGATTAGGGAGAAGGAGCAATCAACACCATTTAGGGAAGTCTGGAGCCTTAGCTTGGTCAGGGCCCTCCCTTAGGAGCCTTGGGACAAAACTGCCTACAACAAAGAAAGTTAAACATATAAATTATGGTCTATTGGACACAGATTGGTGTTCTTTCTTTTTCAGGACCTTGAGGCTCTCCTGATCATCAATGACTAAGTCAATGCACTTTGTAGATGGAGTAGGTATAGGATAGAGTTTAGATGTGAATTTGGGAAAGGAAGTGATTTTTGTCAAGCAGGACAAAGGGTAGCAGGTAATAGCTCCTCAAGGTGGCTATGAGCCAACAAGGCATGGAATATTAGGGTCAAGGAGACTATGTATCAAAGAAAATTGCCCAACTTGTCATCTTGGTCTATTTACTAAATATGACTGACAACTGGTGATAAAACAAATCTCATTGCCCCCATTAGGCTGTTGTAGACAGGTCAAGAGGGCGTTGATGGGTACTTGCTACGACTCCAACTTCAGTTCCTGGATGTCCCCTTCAGGCCCATTTGTTCAGGTAGGCCAGTACTAGCCATCCCACCACCAATCCTCTACAACAGCCTTTTCTGTACTAAGCATTATTTATCCACACTCCAACACTTACCTCAACAACCAGCAGGTCATCATTTGAAATGGACTGAAGCCTTTTCTCTGGTGGTGTCTTTTCAAGAAGAGTGGTCAGTTCAACCAAGATTCTACCTCTGTAGGCAACTCCTTCTCCCTGAAAGGCAACCACACAGAATTATTCTTCTAGGCATGAACAACAGCAGAAAGAATGGTCTCTCTACTCCAGCTAATCCAGCTACAAAAAGTTTTTCCTTCCACAGCCCTAATTTCCAAAGTGAATCATTAATTCTCTCAGCTGGATTTAGATATTTGGTATCTAGAAAAAGAAACAGTGACTTCAGGTGGCAATCCAAAGAGAGACAGGGGAGGTGAGCTGAAAGAGATATTGCAATGACTGAGGTGGGGGGAGTGATAGTGGAAGGGACTCAAAGTCTCCCTCGCCCCACTTCAGCAGAGCAGCTCTACCTTTACCTACAGTAACTTTTTTCCTCTTCGCAGAATAGGAAGGCTGCCATGTTGGCAACCAGGGCAAGTCGCAGAGCAGCCAGGAAGTAAAGGAGGAAGTTGTTCTCTGCAGCTGAGTGTGCGGATGGGTGTCAGATATTCCCTCACCATACCTGGCCGTGTTGGCAATAGAATCTTCTGAGAGGAAGAGAAGTCTCCACCCTCCTCCTTGTAGGGCTTTTTTTTTCTACCTTTGTCCCTTTCTGGGTTTGGGGAACTAACTAAAAGAGATTACTTTGGCTTCTAATGTAATAGAAAGATCACTTCCCATATGTGGATCTCCATGTCCTCACCTTCAAAATAAAGAGGTTGGATCAGGCCAGAGATAGCAAAGAGTTTCACCAGGCACATCACCTCCAATCATTTGGTAAATTCCTAGAACATGGTGTTGAGCAGAATTCTGAGGCAGCACATTTGCTGACTAGCAAAGAAACCCAGCATTGATTCTTGACATCTGTTCTAAGTATAGGGAATAGCCATGCAATGTATTGGCAATTACCACATCAGATGACCTCCAGGATCCTTTCCTATTCTTACAATCTAAGACTGGAGGATGAGATGTCCATCCTCCAACACTTGATCAGTTATGTGGTAGCTGTGTGTGTGTGTGTGTGTGTGTGTGTCTGTGTGTGTCTATGTGTGTGTGTATGGGGGGAGGTCCCCTAAATATGAGACTTAATCACAACCATTACAGGAAGGAATCTCATTAACAATGTTCATTAATAACAAACCTTAATTGAGAAACCAACCTTTCCAGTATTTAGTTCATCGTAGGGGTCTGGGAATCCTGTGTATTCTCTGGGGCTTCCGTAAAGGTTCAGATAACAAGGTCCAAATGTTGGAATGAAGCCCACCTCTGTTTCTCCTGTATTTGCTGAGAGATAATGTCATCATTAAATTTTAGGCTTTTAAACATTTGATCTGTTGAAATAAATATTAGTTATTAGTTGGCTGGGTGAGACTATTTTTCTCCATTTTGTGAGTTAGTTGTATTAGTGGAAATTATAAGTACCTGTGAGACTTGCCAGTTTCCCTTTTCTTATTGCTATAAAATATTAAATTAAAAACATTTTGAGGTAATTCAAGTAAACATGTTATTCTTACAAAAAGACAACGTTATTCAAATGAAAGAATAATAAGGCTTTCAAAATGATCTTCACATTTTTTTGTAAGTTTATAATTGGCATCATGTTAAACATGTCATTGGCAATTGGGGTAAAGAGTATATTGTTTGGGGAAGTCATTTAAATGATATAGATCAGATTAACTTTGTTCCAAAAAATGTGATTTAGTCTCAAGTTAAAATATATGAGATTTAAGATTTTTATATGTAACAATAAGCCGCCTGCCTATGGTGATACAACCATATGATATTCATTAAACAGCATGAAGTCCCCATTCACTACATTCTGTCTCTGGTGAACAGACAATATGCTCCTTAGTTCTGCTACCTGGTCTTAGCAAGAGTATTCACCAATGAGGGGCACTGAGGGTGATGTTAGGAATTAGCAGGGTCAAAGGGAGATTGTGGGGAAATGTAAGAGCGGTATGGGTTTGATAGATGACAAACCTATCTAAACCTCAGCACCCACATCTACCAGGGGAACAATATCTGCCCTAGGAGAGTTGTGACGGTCAAGTGAGAGAGCACTGAGCAAACTTGTAATAAATGGTGAGAGCTGTGCAAACCAAAGGACAGGTTATGACCCCTCATGTTTGGAAGGTGAAGACCTTCAAGGTACAAAGCAGAAAACAGTATCTTCCAACCTAGAGATCCATGTTGAAAGTGGGGGAAAGTCATTTCATACGTTTTGAACAATTGATTTAGTGCCCCGTATCTCTCTGTATGAAACGTAAACAATGTTAACAAAAAAATGTTATGTCTCACGAACAGTTATTCACAATGAAGCCAATAGGATAGTTTGCATCTAGGTGAAAACATGAGACACGGAGCAATGCCTGGTTGCACATCTGTTTTAAGCTTAGCCATGCAGGACAACTATACAGGACTAACACAAAAATTATTTTTAAGACAGCAAAATGTTGTAAATAAAAAGGGTTTAAAGGCAATCAAATGATAAGAGTAAATAGGAAGCTCTAGAAGATAGCAAAATTACAAAGCATAAACCTGTATATGATGCAGCCCCAGATCCCGAAGATGAGAAATCTACATAGTAAAAATATAATTGGTTAAACAACATGAGAAATACAGCATTATAAAAGAGACATTGAAACGTTAACCAAATCCAGACCCAAGCAACACCAGAAAAATCCCAAATTCGGACCCAAGCCACATGACCATATTATAATTTGAACAAATATCACTGGTTAAATGCAAAATAGCTCAATATTTTGTGACAACATGAAATAACCCAGTCTCTCGAGTCCCAGGGCCACCAGGCATCTGAGAAGGGTCAGGTTCTCGCCACCAAAGGAGGCCTGGTGATGCTACCAACATTTTGTGTTTTTAATAAAACATTTGCTTGTCTTGCCTTAACTGGTTTGGCTCAGTGGATAGAGCGTCAGCCTGGGGACTCAAGGGTCCCAGGTTTGATTCCAGTCAAGGGCATGTACCTTGGTTGCAGGCACATACCCAAATAGGGAGTGTGCAGGAGGCAGCTGATCGATGTTTCTCTCTCATCGATGTTTCTAACTCTCTATCCTTCTCCCTTCCTCTCTGTAAGAAATCAATAAAATATATTTTAAAAAAATTTTTTGCTTGTCTTATATCTCGCTTAGTTGGGATCAAGGCTAGAAAATCGAAGTTAATGTAGTCTGAGGCCTGTAGTTTATGGTACATTGCTTGTTTCTCTTGGGGAGATGCATGCTGCTCATTGTTATTTAGAGACCCTGTAACAGACTGTCTGAAGGGCCGGCAGGGAGAAAAGACCTCAGAGACAGGGGCTGAAACTAACAATTTCTATTTTTATAAATGATGGCTGTTACCACCTTATCACTATGAAAAAGGCTTGTCTTAATATTTCTTGAATAATTAACTTTAGGTAATTATTTAATAACTTCTTGCTAATGATACATGAATTTAATAATATTTACCTTCCCTCCATATAGTTAGAGCATGATTTAAAATTACTCATTTGGTTACCTTTAACCTAGTCTTTAACCAATCTTTATCAAACTAATGATTTCATTCAGTATTTATATCTGGATTCCCCACTTGATAAGAAGAGGCTAGTAGCCCATCTACTTTCCCCTCCATTCCTCTTCCTTTTCTTCCTTCTAATCTCTATTTTCTGTACTTTCACTTTTACATTGCAATGGGTGATGAAATTTACATTCTGCTTAGAGCTTTGACTACCAACTTAATAAAAAATAAAAAAACCAATTAATAATGCTTACATTATAACAAACATACAATATTGTTCTCTGCAGAGAAAAGGAAAGTATAATTACATTTCCTTTGCTACCTCTGCTCCAGCAGCATGGTCCCCTATGCCACTCAGCAGAGAATATTGCGATGAAATCTCTTTCCTAACTCCTTCCATTTGCCTAAAATATTTGGACTTTATATTTGGACTACATCTACTTTGTTCAGTTTTTCTCAGAATTTCTAATTGCCCTATTTTTCCTTCTTGAGAGAGGAAATCTATAGCTTCTTTACCATGTCTCGATTATCTTCCAGATTCTTACTCATGCTATGTATTGTTTAGATTAACATTGAAAAAACAACTCACAACCCTATAAGGTCCTCTCTTGAACAACATGAGAGGCACCTTAGGTTTTGCAAGACAAAATCTTGTCTCAACTTCTCTCACTTTACTCAATATGTTGAATCTATTAGCAATTATAAGAATTTTCGTTATTTTATTTAGACAACAAAAAATAAGCTGCTGTTATTATTGCTTAACACTAAATATTTTATCTTACCATCTTAATTTTTCTCCTTCATTTCCTATTATAATTTCTCACATACACACAGAACCATAATGCCAGGTATAAGCAATTAGTTCTCAGTATGGAAAACATCAAAAAGAAAAGTGTAGTGGTTATTGATGCCTGTTAGCACAAAATGCATGAAAACAAAATACACATGATCTTAGGGAGCAAAGATTACATGGTTCGTTGCCGTCTGGCCTCCTGGTTCCTGCCAAGGAAATCAGTTAAGAAAGGGAATATAATTTATATTTTGGTGAAATTGTTTCAATGCCAATCTAAAAAATAAGGTGCTAAGCACTCTGTATTGACACTCAACATTTATAAAACAGCTTCTGGGAAAGAATTTTTGGATGGGAGCAAGAAAGCTAAAATCTTCAAACTGTTAGTTGCCTTAATTACCAATTACCAATTAGTTGTTTTCTGGTCATCACCAGAACATCCCTGAAATGGTTCACTAGGCTCATCACATGTGGCTTTTAAGAAACCAAGTCCATTGCCCTGGGGCTACCCCAGCTCATTCCTTCAGAAGTTCTGCACCTTGTCTTATTCCAGCCCTGCTGTGTGACTTACCTTCCACTTCCCCGCCAGAGGCAGCAATTTTAGAAAGCTGTAGATATGTTGTTCCAACTACATCATTTTTGGTAAGACGGTCCCTGTGTAAAAAAACAGGTTAAGGCCTCCACTTATGAGCATGTATCTTCATTTCAACAATAATAAGATAGAGCTGGAAAAGACCCTAGACCTCAGAAATCATTGTCTGGTGGGCCTCAGCATTACTGCACTTTTAAAAAATCACTTGAAACCCCCCTCCCCCCAACTCTCATCTCCTATTCAAGCTTTTGATTCACTAAAAGTAGGGGTGAAGAACAAGTCTGCATTTATAACAAGTATATTTCCTAATTCAATCTGCTGGAAATGGTCCTCCAACCATCCTTTAAGAAATACTGATCTAGTTGGACAACTCATTTCATTTATGGAAACTGAGATTTTTATAGAAGTCATGAGATTTGCATATGGCCACACTCAATACTATTATCATAAAATGAATGAACCAATTATAGGCACATTGCATAAGAAGTGCAGCATAATCATAGTTCATAGAATAGTGCATGTCTTATTTTAGTGTGTTCATACTATTTACTATGCTGGTTTAATAACTACAATAGACTATATCTAAGGGTCCTTCATAGGGAGAAAAATTCCTTTTCAATTCAATTCAAATACTTATTGAGCACTACTGTGTGATAGATACTATTTTTCTGACTACAGTTGCTTGCCTAGAACCTAAATCTTATTATCTATATGGTAGGGACAAATTTGCCCACTATAAGTATATATAACTTTGTGTATCTCTCCATGGGTACCTTAGTCTGTGAGCCTAACTCATGAAATGCTCTCTGGCCAAGCAGATAGTAGGTGTAAAAACTAAGGTTTATATTAATAACAACCTCTCTTTAATTCCTCCTCTTCTTTATACCATTTAGTGGCATACACACTCTGAAGATTAGGACTCCATGGGAGGGAGTAAAGACTCAGTATTTTGAGGAAAGATTATTCTACTATATAATATTATATATTATAGTATTATTATATATGATATACAGGGTCAGACAAAAATAGGTCTGGAAAATAACACAATAGTATGGAAAATAACACAATAATTAATAAATAGTAATACAAGAATAAACTCTGTGTTTTGTGCACTCACAACTATAAAGCTACTTTCACTCCATTCTGTTATATATAACACATTATATAGTATACTAGAGGCCCGGTGCATGAAATTCGTGCACTCGGGGGTGGGGGTTATCCCTCAACCCAGCCTGGGCCCTCTCGCAGTCTGGGAGCCCTCAGGGGATGTCCAACTGATAGCTTAACCAGGCATGAGCCTGGCGTCTGCCCCTGGTGGTCAGTGCATGTCATAGCAACTGGTTGTTCTGCCTTTCGGCCAACTTGCATATTAGCCTTTTATTATATAGGATAATAATATTAGGATGTAGAAAATTACTAATTAAACACAATTGGCATGAGAGCTTGAAGCTTTTCTGTCCATCCAGAAGGGTCTAGACTAAATTTAAAGAATCCTTAGCTTTCCTTCAAGGTATTGTGCAAATATGGTACAAGGTATGTAACCTCAGATCTGGGTCCAAAAAATCCCCAGTTAAAAGGGTTTCTCTGTGCATTCTAATTTGCACTATTGCTTTGGAGGGGCAGACAAGGTCAGGAAAAAACCCTACATGTGTATTGACCACAGGCAACTCTGATTCAATCAGCAATAAGCTCACTGCAGAGCCTGTAGGCCAGAGTGGTCACCCACGCTACACAGAGTTCAAACCCACACTCCCAAGGGCTCCAAGGGCTCCTGGAGCTCCTTCAGAATGTCACCCAAGGTTCTAAGAGCCTTAAAACTAGCTCACACTCATGGGAAAGGACACTTTGTCATAGGCCCCTTCCTGGCTCTCGATTAACTGATAATGATGGGGTCACTGAACAAAATGAAGCCTTTTCTCTTCCCAAAGTGCCCTGTTGCTATGGTACCAAGAGGGTATTGACATGGAAGTCAAAAACATCTGGCTAATGGAAAAGCTAAGGCCAAACAGGAGGCCCAACTGACTAGCTATCTAATGACTGTGGGCAAGTTACCTTTCTGAGTTTTAGTGTCTTCATCTGTAAAACGAACTAATCATAGTCACTAGTAGCAAACATCATAATAAACACTGATAATCATGGTGATGATGATGATGATGATGATATTTGCCACTCTCAGGGAGCTAAAGGCTGCTAATTGAATGCCCCATCTAACTAGAATATACTCAAGAATGGTCTCATTGTGGCCAATCACTGCTAGGAGGTTGGTCTAATAAAAATCCCATCAGAACATTTTAAAGAATTTCCTGCATTCAGATAGGTAGCTTTCTCCATTTTCCTTTCTAACAATAATAGGAACAGAACGGTTTGGTGATTCTTCCCAAGAAGTGGTTTACTCCATGTCTGAGGTCCATTTTGGGCAGCCTAATGGTATTTCATTCATTATCTTGGGCATTTTCAGATCATTTCTTCCTTCTTTGTTTATGAACAGTTGAACTAAGAGATTCAAAATTCTTCTGCAGCAACACTATTATCATTTTTAAAGAAAACATCCAGCCGAAACCGGTTTGGCTCAGTGGATGGAGCGTCGGCCTGCGGACGGAAGGGTCCCGGGTTCGGTTCCGGTCGGGGGCGTGTGCCTGGGTTGCGGGCACATCCCCAGTGGGAGAAGTGCAGGGGGCAGCTGATCGATGTCTCTCTCTCATCGATGTTTCTGGCTCTCTGTCTCTCTCCCTTCCTCTCTGTAAAAAATCAATAAAATATGTTTAAAAAAAAAAAAAAAGAAAACATCCAGTTCCAAGAACAGTTTATTCCTTCCCTCTGGGAGAAAAGCAAATATGCTAAAATATAAGAGTCAGGTGATCTAGAGTAATGTTCTTTAATATCCAAATGTTTTATTCTTTAATTCTGAATTAGACACAAGTCCATTTTTAACTCACCAGTCATATATTGTTAGTTTTATTTTTTCACACACTGACGGAAACTGTGCAAAAGGAAAAAAAAGGTAATTATTTCTCAATTTACTCAGTAACTATGAAAGTAAGTAGTCTTATTTTTCTGAAAGAAAAGGAAGTCAAACCTTGATCTGGAGATTAACGACTTGATTCCACTCAGGGTTTGCATTTTTCTCAATTATATTTGTGCAAACCTGTAAAATCGTCAAAGCAAAACAGTAGGTATTCAAGTTTCTAATTTCTAAAAGTTTATAATACATGCATACTAGATTATGACTCTAGCAGTTTACTTATAAGTTATATACTTAGTAACCTGGTTAAAGGTTATTTTTCTTGATAATGATTTGGTAAAATATGACATGGGTTTAAGATCTCTGCTACTTCTGTGGCTAAAAGTTTTCAGTTGCCAGATTTCTAACATTGTGCGAGTGTAATGAGGCAAGATTAATGTTTATTGAGCATTCATGACATACTGCCTAATAACTATATCTTCATTAGCATGTCCAAACAGGTCTTTTGATTCTGCGCACCCAACCCCTCCTCTGTCTCCCCAAAGTGGCTCCTATCCCAGTCTTTCCATCATTGTTCACCAGGTGGCTTAGGCTTACAGCAAAGTCAGTCTCCTCTCTCTCCCCATCACACACCTCATCCAATTCATGAGTAAATCCTGACACCCTCATCTGCATGTGGACCCTGATCTGCCCCAGACACCTGCAGTTGGCTCCTACCTAGATCCTCTCCTGCCTGCTCACTGTCATGTCACTCCCCTGTGTAGCCTCCTCCATGAGCTCCCAGTTACACTTAGAATAAAGTCCAGGTCTGACCTCTGGCTGATGAAGCCCTACTGCCCCACCACCCACATCTCTCTAACCTTCTCTCTTAGTTTTCCCCCTTGCTCGCCGCTCCAACCACCTGGATGTTCTTTGGCTGCAAATGTGTCTCCTCCTTGGGGCCTTTACATCTGCTTTTCTCTCTCTCTGGAAGCTTCCCCACCTCCCACCCCCCACTCGAGACCTCTGCATCATCCAGGCCTCTGCGCAATGTCCCTTCCTCAAAGGTGGGCACATGATATCCTAGCCAAATACCCCTTCAACCCCACACAATCACTTCTTGTCCCCTGCTTTATCTTCTGTGTAGTGCTTGGCACTATCTGGAATTATTTAATGACTTGTTAGCTTCTTTATTGTTGTCCCTTAAGCTCCACGAGAGCAATGGCTCACTTCTATATCCCAGCACATGGAACCATATTGAATAGTAAACAGACTTCCAACAATTACTTCTCGAACTGATGAATCCTTTCAACACTCCTATGAGAATCTTATTATCCTCATTAATATTTCAGGAAATTGAGACTTAGGGGTTACAATATTTGCCTTAATTGCCGATGGAGTGGGGTAAAATCTGAACTTAAATCAGGCCTCCTCTCACTCCAGACCTCAGGGGTTTGCGGCAGCTCTCCATCGGCTCCTAGGAAATGACGCCCCGACCATGTGTCATTTGCCGAATCTGCCTTACATAAACAAATGGTTCAACTACGTAGAAAATACTGGTTTTTCATGCCTACAGTTGTCCATGGGGGGGTGTTATTCTACTATGGAATCCCACTCTCGAGCCTTTGACATTTGTAGATAAAAGTAGTGGTTACCTGTGTTTTTACACCAAGAGTTCCCCAGCTTTTCCCAGAGGACAGGGATGGGGTCCCCTGCCTGACCCTCTAGTTTCAGCAACTCCCCGGGGCATGGGAGGTAGGAAACACCACAGGAGTGGACAGCTGGGCACTGGGGAGCTAGACTCTAGGACATTTACCAGGGATTATGACAGCTAGCTAGCTAGGGGGCTTGCTTAACATTAAGATAACATTTGGACCTGGGAAATAAATCCAAATAATTCAGTAGCAGCTTTCGCAATTTACATTTTTCAAATGATTGAGTTTTCCAATTTAGTCCTGCATACTTTCCACTGCAAAATAAACCTGGGGAGAGTCTGGCATGTGCACACTCAGATAATCTGCGTTCCTGCAGGGTGCCTGCTCATCAGGGGCCACTTCAGCAAAGAGTTAGCAGGAACTCACACCAAGGGAAGCAGAGGTTTATATAGTATTTATTTCTAGAGGCATCTGCATTTAGATCACACACAAACCTTTTTTCCAGCAAAGGAAACTTCTACAAAGGGATCCACTAGGTTCTTCTTATCTGCATTGCCTCCAAAGATTTCCTTTACCGTCTGAGAGAAGGCATCATCCACTGGAAAGTAACATGTCACACGGCAGAAATTAAATCTGATTCTCTTAAAGAACTGGAAGTCACTCAACAAAATTAAAAATGTTCTCCTATACATGAACACTGTGGCAAAAAAATTGTTCTCAAAAGTAGCACTGTGTTGCAGAAATTCCTTGTGTCTTGGTTGAGAGAGAAAATGTTTTCTCCCCAAAGAGTTTTAAAATCAATAAGAACACCTTGAAAAATAAATTGATAAAAGATTCTGTTGAGAATCAATCATTTATTGAGGAGAAAGTAGAAATAAAACGTTCATTCATGGAAGGTAAGAGACAACTCTCAAACTCAGGCCTGGTTTTAATTTGGAAAAGGTGCTTTAGGTCAAAATGATATCGGCCTAGTCTGACTTTTCAGATAAATTCAGGGAAATTTGGCATAATCATAAGTAACACATTTAATCACTTATAAACAGCAGATTTCTCTATTTTAACAAACTTGATTACGTAGGTAGGAATTTAATGTGTTTTAATTTATTTACCTCATTCAAAATATTTCTGAGGAACATATGGTATGGGGAGTCATTATGGGGTCTTTAAAAAGGGAAGGGGTGTTCCCAGGAAAAGTGGCCAATCCTGAAGCGATCATGGCCTGAGTAGTGGGTGCTGCCCCCGGTGAGGAGTCCTTTGTCCCAGGTCCAACAGGAAGCACATAAGCCAGGCCAGGAGGACAGGATGCTGGGCCTCAGCAATGACATTGGACTAACTGGACCAGTCTCTATGAGCATCAAATGCATCCAATCTCTTAAAACACACATCTCCTAATACAATACTGACAGACTTTTACTTATTGGCACTTAACTACCCTTTGCTCAGCCATTTTTAATAATCCAAGGCAAACACATATATTTGTTCATAAAATTTCACATTTTCATTTGGGATGAAAGGAGTTGGAAGTGCTGACTGCTGACCTCTCTATGTATTCTCTAGAATGAAAAGATATGGAACATTAAAGAAAGAAAGGATGGAGAAGAATGGGCCAAAAGACTCAACCAAAAAACATGTACCAGTGACCAATTGGCTACCTCATGAACAAGCTCAGGTAGCTTGCAATGGGGCCAAAATGAATGAAAATAAGTCATGAAAGCCTTTAAGAAAAAAACAAACAAAACCATATGATAGGGAGCACCAATCCCTATTTAGAGTATGATTTTAACACATCTAATCATGAAAATAACTGATAATCTGGAGCAGGATGAAATCATTACATACTCTGGGGGATGTCCTCTGCTCGGTAGATTTTCAGCAAGAAGGTCACCCACCGGAGGGCGATGCCAGCAGGGAGCAACAAATTACTCTCCACATCGTCACTGTCATTATCACGATCTGGTTTCTCAGCCTGGTGGGGACACACAATAACAAATTACACACACAGGAGAGCAGCGCTTGGAAGAACCCAAACTGATGCTTGTAAAACCACACCAATCAGAGCTGTTTCCATTAGGATTTCCTGTTTCAGGCTTAAGAGTTCAGCCACCAATTCAACAAAGCTGCTCTACAAAATTCAATATGCATGTTTCTTTCATCAAGACACCATAAGAAAATAATGTGTTCTGTAATTTTATGAGCACAAAATAGTAGAGGGGCCAGAGGGAGGGAGGGAGGG